CACATCGTCACCGACTTTGAATGGATGATCCATTCGTGATCGGTTCGCTCGTGCGGCCATGCGAGTCTGGGAGTCGGCTAAACTCTCGTATGCGCGCTTCATAATCGCCGCCATGTGGACGATCCAGTCGTCAAGCGCAGGGCAACGAGTGTCTGGGCATAACCGCGATGGTCGTAGGAAATCCGCAGGTACGCGAGGGTGGTAGCCGAGGTCACAATAGAATGGCAACATCCCCGTGGCTGGCGAAACAGCGTGGTTGTACGCAATCTCCGCGTGGGCTAAGTGTAAGTCCCACTGCTGGTCATCCCTAACAAACTTTCGAAGGATATTACCGAGAGTTTTGTTGGTGACCTCAGTCTAACCATCCGTCTGAGGGTGGTAAGACGATGAGAAGCGGAGCTGGGATCCGTACACCTCGTGTAGGCGTTGCCAGAATGTGCTGGTAAAGCGCGGGTCACGGTCGGAGATGATGCTCTGAGGTAAGCCGTGATCTCTCACGACTCGGTCAAAGACGATGTCGGCGACCTCACAAGCGCTAATGCGATAGCGGCACGGAACAAAACGTGCACGCTTCGTGAAGCGATCGACGACGACCAAGATAGCATCATGACCGCGCTGAGTGGGTGGGCGGAGGGGACCAATGAAATCCATCGAGATAGACTGCCAATGACCTTCAGGTATGGGTAGGGGCTGAAGTAACCCATACGGAAGGTGGTTCGCACTGTTCACCTCCTGGCAGGTAAGACACTCCTGGATGTAGGCTTTGACAAAGTCCTTGGACTTCGGCCAGACGTATAGGAGGCAAACACGAGCCAACGTTTTGTGGAAACCCATATGACCGGCAACTGCCTGGTCATGGAACTCTGCTACAGCCTGGACGCGGAGCTGTCCGGTGGAGGGAACGCAGATACGTGGTTCTAGCTGACCAGATCTGCCATGCCAGTACACGAGGCCGTTCTCCCCGAGGGAGTAGGAAGGAACGGTCTTGCCACTCCGCAGTGTCGCGTGGATGACGCGATAATCGGGGCAGTGGCGGTACTGAGTGCGATACGCGTCGATCACCGACTGATCAACACTGGTGATGGAGATGGCAGCAGGATGGATGGGTTCCTGATTGTGATCATGACGGCGGGATAAGGCATCGGCGACGCGGTTCGTTTCACCCTTGATGGGCTGAGTGGCGAAACTGAACTCGGATAAGGCACGCCACCAGCGTGCCTGTCGAGGGGAAAGCTTAGGCTTCGTGAGGAAAGCCTGGACAACTGAGTTGTCCGTGCGCACCGTGAAGGGTGCCCCGTGCAGATAATGACGCCAATGCCGGGTAGCATAAACTACTGCGAGAACCTCACGTTCATCGGCAGTGTAGTTTATCTCGACAGGTAGTAGCTGACGGGAGTAGAAAGCGATCGGGCAATCCCCAGCACGAGCCTCGACMGTCCCATCCTCCGCGATGGTCGGGGAGTAAGTAATGGGAGGACTGTCAGTGGAGGGAAGTGGTGGTAGGATAGGCGTCAGTCGAGAAGCAGTGTCAGCAGGAGGGGGGRGAAAATGAGGAACATGGGGGTAAGGTGAATCTGGAGGAGAGGGAAACACCTTAGAAAGGACAACTCCTACTGCAAAATCTGACACATCGGTGGTGACGATAAAGGGACGATCAAAATCGGGAAGGCGAAGAACCGTCGCGCAAGTCACCGCCTTCTTGAGGGCGCGGAAGGCGTCCTCGCAGAGGGGTGTCCAAAACCACGGCGGGTTCTTCCRGAGGAGGGTGGAGGTAAGGACGTAGGAATACCTAGCGTATCCCTGGATAAAATTACTATAGTAGCTGGTGAGGCCTAGAAAGCTGCGAAGCCGCTTGGCAGATGTGGGGACGGGCCTCTCTGCAATAGCAGTGATCTTCGCGTCGTCCATGTGGAGACCCTGGTCAGACATATGGTGTCCTAGGAAGTCCACTTTGCGCTGGGCAAAGCGGCACTTACTGAGCTTGGCATAAAAGCGATGCTTGCGTAAGCACTGTAGGACATCGCGGATGTGTCTGATATAGTCTTCTAAGGTACGACTGTAGACCAGGATGTCGTCCAAGTATACGAGAACGTATTCTTCAATGATGTCCCTGAAGATGTCGTTCATCGCCGTGTGGAAGGTGGCGGGTGCATTGGTGAGGCCGAATGGCATCACCGTGAACTCGTAGTGGCCGAAGCGCGACCGAAAGGCGGTCTTCGGCTGGTCCTCTGCGGCAACGCGGATCTGGTGGTAACCGCTACGAAGATCGATCTTCGTGAAGAAGCGGTTGCCTGCCAGATGGTCAAACAGCTCATCCGCACGGGGCATTGGATAGCTGTTCTTAACCGTGTAACGGTTAAGGCCGCGATAATTGATGCAGAGGTGGAGAGTTCCGTCCGCTTTGCGAGCAAAGAGGACAGGTGCACCCCAAGGGGAGTTACTAGGTTTAATGAAACCAAGTCGAAGGAKCTCCTCAAGCTGACGCTTGAGTTCCGTCGCCTCTGGAATCGAGAGTCGGTATGGTGCCTGATGGTGAACACGATAGTCAGGCACGAGCTGGATGGAATGCTCGACACCGCGCATCGGGGGAATCCCGCTGTATGAGAAATACGGGGGGAAGACGTCGCGGTACTCCCGAATCAGGTCGCGAATGATGGGCTCTAAGTCAGCCGTGAACCGCATGAGTTCCTCAACGTCTGCGCCGACACGAGACGTATGGGTGGACTCGGCAGTGGACGGCATAGGAACCCGGGATGTCGAGGGGGTATCCGCAGGCTGCGGGGTGGATGTAGAGATGGGAGCCGCGAAGATGGAGGAAGGGTCAGGGGGATCGGGCTCCAGTGAGATGAGCTCAACCTCGGGACAGAGTGGATCGTAGCGAAGAAGATCCATGACGTTCACTGAGTGAAGCGTGACGTCCTCCTGTCGGATGAAGTGAGCAAACTGACGGGGAGAAGTGAAGGAGATGTCTGGGTGGGACCCAGAAGGACGAGGGTCCTGGGGAGGTAGGTTTGGAGGGGTGTCGCCTGTGGTTCCAATGAAGGGGACTCGATGGGTTTGACCACACTTCGTTTTGAGAATGAGTGTCTCAAACGCCCATTCGGCCTCTGTGCTACGGAACCGGCGAGACCAGGGAGTGCCAAGGATAAAGTCGTACCCAGTCTCCATCACGTCGAAGTAGGTGGAGGAATGGTAGCGTCGAGGCGCCTGGGTACTATTCGGTAGCTGGAGGGTGAGGGAAAAGTGGAGGTCGGGGACCGTCTGAGATGGGTAGGGATGGTAGCGTCGAGGCGCCTGGGTACTATTCGGTGGCTTGTTATCTCCGAGGGTAACGGAGATAGGAGAGCGAGACCCAGAGGTAGCTAGGCGAGCTTCCTCAACCACTCGAGGGTGAACGAAATCTTCCTGCGAGCCAGAGTCCCATAAAGCGCGGTACACCCTCGTAGATGTCCCTAGGCGAATAGGGATGATGGGTAGGGTGCGATCAGGGTCAGAGAGCAAGGCGAGAAGACGACGCAGGACGTTGATGTGTCTTGTGAAGCGCTCCTGACGAGCCTGCAGAATGCTCAAGTCCAGGAGAGATGACACAACGTCATCGTGAGTCGCCAGCTGAGCGCCACAACGGGCTGTGCGAATGGCGCGACGCGTCGGAAGTCTCAAAAGAGAAGCGCTAGATGCGGCAGTCTGCTGGGAGGCAGACGGTACCTCGATAGACGATGGGGCGGAGAGAACTGCGTCTATCGTGTCCTGAGGGTCCTTTGGTGGGGTAGCCAAAGGGGCAAACCGCGACACGGTGGTCGGAAAGTCGGCTACGTGCGAGGCCTCAGGGGCACAGTGCACCGTGGCTAGGTGGATGGGGCTGGCCGGGCGGGGCCGGGGGGGGACTGAGATCGACCCTGACGAGAGATATCAGCGTAGTGCCGATCAAGGGCGATATGGTATGGACACCGTGAGGAGGTGTGTTCATCTAGGCGGCAACGAAGGCAGCCGTGTCGGGCCTCGAGGGCGGCACGCTCCTAAGGGGATAGAGCTCCGCGAGGAGGGACATAACCCTGCGGGAGGTCTATCTGAGGAACCGTGGGTGTGCGGGTGCCAGCCTGTGCAACCCGACTATGAGCACGACCCATGGCAGACATGGCCATCAGCAAGCGCTCGGCCACCGGAACAGTGTCGTCATCCAAGTGATACTGGATGACGTCTCGTAGCTCGATGTCCTCGGGGGCGTCCCCAAGGGTAGGGTCAAACTCGACCGAGGCGTCCTCGCCGTACTCCAGAGAACTGTAGCGCTGAGAGAATGACGCTCCAGGGCGGGGTGGGCGACGAAAACGACCAGCAAACGAGAAGCGACCTCGGGTGGTACCCCGAGACTGAGAGGTGGCGGCTGGCCGCGAAGAGGATGGGACGACGGAGAAGCGACTGCACATCCTCTGGTACTGACGCGCAGCCTCGTATGCCTGCTCCGCGGAAGAGAATGATCGCCTCCATAGCTCTAGGCGATAGTCAGTCGGCAGGTTGACAAGGAACCGGTCGGTGAGTGTGACCTCCGGTAGGAACGTCTCGTCACAAACAAGGCGAGCGTCATGAAACACCCGGATGTGACGTTCCAGGTCGGCCGGTACAGAGGACCCGGACCATCTGGTCTGGGTGACGCGGTCTAAGGCGTCGGTGGCGTTTTGACGAGCGCCGAAACGGTCCTGAAGGAAGGCCGCGAAGTCGGTCAGAGTGGGGACCTCACCCACGCGGAGGCGCTGGGTATAATGATCCTCTCACGCAGTGGAAGGGCTACCTCACAATTTGGTTGCGAGCACATCGCACCACAACTCCTGACGGGTGGTCATCATAGAGAGCGTGCGCGTTGCTATCTGCAACCAGCGAGAGACACGGGTTGTGCCATCATACTCGGGAATGTCCGTGGTGCGCACAGGAGGATGTCCACTGTGTTGATGGCGGGGGGAGAGAGATCGAGGCGAGTGCACTACGGCAGCATAAGTCGAGGTCGCTGCAGGGGCAGAGGTGGGGGAAGGCTGCGGGCCGTGGCCGCTAGCGGATGGAACAGCAGACGAGGAGGCAACGGCCGCGGACAGCTGTCCCGGAATAGCCAGGTAGGAGGGAAGAGGCTGAGGAGCAGGTCGAGGGAAACGAGCCTGCATCATGGGGACCGAAGGGGTGGTAGAGGAAGAAGGGTGGGCAGCCTGTGATGGGTGAGGCTGTCTCAGAGTGAGAATCTCCGCCTGAGCCTGCGCAATGGTGGCCTGTAAAGTGGCCACGCGCTGGGTGCGCGAGGTCGGAGGTGGAGGGGGCGGAGCGGGTCTCCCAGTGGGAGGAGGAATCCCAGCCTGGGCGGTACCTTGCTGTGGGGGTGGGGGGACAAAGGCGGGAAGAAGAAGGCGGAGTTGTATTGCCGCGACCGGTGCGGGAAACTGGGAAGCAACACCGGTGTGGGTCGATGAAATTGTTGGGCCTCAAGGCGTTACCTGGACCGCAGCACCTACGGCAGTAGTAGAGACGGTAGGGGCGGCCGTGACCGGGAGAACTGCCGCAACAGACGGGGTGGTCTGAGCGGCAGCAGCACTCGCCACTGCTGCGGGGGAGTGTTGGGCCTGGCCCGTAGAGGAGGGGGAACCACGATGTCTCCGACTCTGGATTCGTGGGGAGCCGGACTCGGAGCCGGTAGGGGATGGGGTATGGGAGCGGTGGGGAGAGTGATGAGGAGAGCCCTTGAGGCGATTGACGTCAAGGGCAAGCGCATTGATTTGCGCTTGCAACGGTCCAAGCGTACTAAGTTGCGCCTGAATCGCTACGAGGGTGGCATGAAGGTCCATCGTGTCCGCATGGGCCTGACCCTGACCCGCTGGCTGAACGCTCACCTGGGAGGTGGACGGCGCCGCGGTGATCTCCTCAAAGGAACTCCCTTCCATGGTCGGAAGGGAAAGGGAGGTAGAGCTCATGGGGGTGTGTGGGGAGAGGGGCCCGCGGATAAGAGGAAGGGGACCGCGGGAGCAGAGTGAGTATGTGTGAGTCGGCTCACCCCGGATTTGGCGGGTCGCGCGTGAGAAGAACGCGCCAAATCGCTCGAGGGGGGAGGAGCCGTTCGGGTCCAGGGTGCCCTACGGGAGGAGGCGGGAGAGTAGGGGGTTTAGAAAAATCCTAAACCCTAGAAAAACCCTAAGAAAACCCTAACCGGAGTTTAAGTGGTTAGGGGAGGGTAGCGGCGACCTAATCAAGAAAAAGATAATATGGAAGGGGGGAGGGGGAAGAAAATAGAATAAACAATAAAATTTCGAGATAAAAATAAAATAAAAAAATAAATAGAAATAAATAAATAAATAAAATGTAAAGAGTGAGGAGAGAGAGAATATTTATTTTTTTGGAATTTTTGGCAGCATTTTCCCACCCCGCATGGGGTCAAAAATGTACCAAGAGGAAGGAAAGTGCAAGAGGAACACACTAACTTTCAAAATGCCGCAAATTAAAATTTTCAGAAAAATAAATAAGTAAATAAATAAATAAATAAGGAGGTGGAGGAGAGTCATGGGAAGCTAAGTTTTGGAATTTTTCAAAAATTTGGGCAGCATTTCGTTGCCCCCATGGGGTCGAAGTGTGCCGTGAAGAAGAAAGAAAAATAAGAAGATTATGCCAGCACTTCGCTACCCCCAAGGGGTCAAAATGTGCTAAAAAAGACTAAGTATGAAGAAAACAAAAAATTTCGGCAGCACTTCGTTACCCCCACGGGGTCAAAATGTGTACCGAAAGCAAGAATGACTAAGTCATAATCAGATTTTAGGGTGCCGCAGAAAATTTTGAATTTTCAGAATAAATAAAATAAATAAAAAATAAATCAGAAAATAAAAAAAGAGGTAGGGAATAAGATGATTCAGATTTTTGGAGGAAAAGAAAAAATTAAAAAAAAACAAATTGCTGAAGAAAGAAAAAAGACAACAAGA